AGGTATATACATTATCTGCTGTTGTTGTTGCTGTTGTCGGGCGCCAGCTTAGTTGTCATTTAAAATGCAGTTGCAATTTGTCTGCCTTAACTGATTGCAGCTCACGTGGGCGTATAATGTGACGGGATAATCACCATTCGGCTTCGAGCTGTCAGCGAATGAAACCAAAAAGGGTTTCAACTGAGAGAGTGGATAGGACTCTGCTTGTTATGAAGCAGGAGATAGGAGAGTAAGAGCAGCTCACCAAATATTAGGGTTGACTAAATTGCTGACCAATTGATGGATTGATGATTGAAATCTTCTGACTTGTGATGAATATTTAATCATATTGCAAAGGACAGTTTATTTATTTTGTACTGCGTTTAATTACAACTGGAAAAGATTTCTTCAATCAGTTCCACTGAGCTTAAAATATTTTGTTTTGATATAGTGCAAAATTATTTATATTAAATAATAACAATTTTAAAGCTCGCCTTCGGTCTACGCATTGCACCATTCGAGTTGTTGGAGCGTGTCATTTACTTTGTAGCCGAGTGTAGATAGTATATTGTATTATCTGTGTACATCTACAAATGCCATAGTTAACTCTCTTTAATAGACCACAAAAATTTGTTCAATCTGTGCCAGCGACTAACCATTGACAACGGACGCGTCAGACAGACAAACCGACAAACCAACTGGTCAAGTCTTGCGCACTCTTTCGCTCTCGCTCTCGCTCTCCACCTCTCTCCTTTTCTTACTCCCCTGCTCATTTCTGGACAAAAATCATTTTTGATGAAGCTGTCGCTTTTCGTGTGAGTTGTTTTCTTTTTTTTGTTTTGTTGTTTTCGTGTCTGCAGACATATTTTTGGGATGAACATAAATAAAGGCTAACCTGAACTTTTACATAAAGCAGCATAAAGCATACGACGCGTGGTACGCCCGCAGGCAACAACTTGTCGTTTCCATTTTCCGCTTCTGTCGTTGCCGTTGCTGTTGCTCTTACTGATGTCGTCCTTTCTGATGTCCTTGTTGCTGTTGCCTTTTTTTTGTTTTCTGTTCTTTTTTTTTTTTTTTTGTGTGTTTGTTTGCCGGCAAAAGTGGAAATATGCTTTTTCCGTATAACTGAGTTTGCTCCCAACCAAACGGATTTCCAATGCAGTTAGCAGCTCGCCCGCCCGTTTATCCATTAAGTTGATGATTTATGCGTGGAGCGTGCTGTTTATTTGACGCAATTAAAAGGTTTATTAGGAGAACCAATGTCGCGAGTGGTTGGGCCAAGTGGCACTTGTAAGTGCGCCTAATCGAATTAGAATTTAGTTGGTGCTGGGGCCGCCTGCTGATGTCATCAGGCTGGAAACAATTCTATTTGTAGTGTCCACTGAGCGCCGTCACCTTTAACGCATATGTATATTTTCCTGTGTCCCATAAATATTTTAATGCCGAACGCACACACACACATACAAACACATTTTCTGGGTCAGTAGCAACGGCAGCCATAGAATTGTCTGACCCCTCTGCCTGCGCACGACACGCCCATCGAATCGAAATCGAGCAGAGTTCAATAACCGAAATAGACAGGATTTGTTGCGAAATTGTATGCAGCTGCTGTTACTTTTAGATGCTGCTGCTGGCTTATTAAATTATTTTGCAATCTATTTTAATAAATTAAATTTCCTTTGGCAATATTTGCTCTTACTAATTCTCTCCCTTTTTCTTTGTTCTCTCGCTCTCTCTATCTTTCTCTCTCTCTCTCTCTCTTTGTCCTTCTCTTTCTTTCTCTCTCTCTCTCTCTCTCTCATTCGCTCTCCTATGTCACTTGCTCACTCTTATCATATTTCTGTCTCTCTCTCTATATAAAATCAATAACGCGTTTGGGCTGTGCTGCCAGCGTCACTGCTTCGATTTAGTTGCGATTAACACACACACATATATGTATATGCCAAAAATCTGTCCCCTTGTTAGTGAGCGCAAACTTGAAAATTGTCCTAGCCATAGATATTTTTGAGGGATATTTTGAGTTGTTCCCATGTTGCGCGTGGTCACTGCGCAGATGCGTTGGAAGGAAGCAAATGCCGACAGTTGACAGCATCGAAAGTACAGCCAAATAACGCGTTAGCGCGCTGTAACGCATTTGAATGATGAGCGCTTAGCAACGCCTAAACTAAATCATAATATTTCACTGCTTGCTATAAATAAACTGCTTGCGAGCTGTGCACATGTCCCTTTCAATTGCTATGCACTGCTTGCTATGCCTTAACCTTGGCAGTGCTTGCCCAACTCTGGCAAACAGTTTGAGTGGCACTGAGCCGGCCATATCAGGTGTGTTTGGGCAAACAGGACATCTCGAATTACATTTGAGCTGCATATCCTGTTGGGTGCTTACAAAACGAATAAAAAATAAAAAATAAATACAATTAAAAATTTATTGGCCGTTTTTGCTTCAGATAGACACTGCTAGAAATTTTTCATTGCTTTTTTGCTGTTTCTTTAATTAATAACATCCAATTTTGCTTTCGTCTGACGGCGACGAATTACTTTCCCTCCATATGAATATCACTTGATGAATAACGAAACGTTGTACTACTTATAATTATTGGCTGATTAGCGATAAACATCGTTTACTTCTTCCTCTTTTGTTTACCGTCTTTGGCTGTGAATGGTGTGCGCACAAATTTCATTTAAATTAGTTAGTTGACCATTTGGAATATTTCTAGTTCGTTAGTATGATCATAAGGCAACCATCGCACACATTGCGCCTATTCCGATAACCGCATGGGCGGCCAGGACTTTGCCACTGATTCCCTTCTTTTCACACTTGTCGCCTGGAGGACCTATGTACATATTTACGTATATATATTTATTTCCAAATGTCCATTATATTTTCATTATCAAAATGCAATTTAAAAACATTTGCAACGCCTCCAGATCGACAAATGTGAATCAAAAACATGAACTGTGAACTCAGCTGAAAGCATAAGAACAGTGCATACCATAACTATGCCCCCAGCTGGAATATTCCCAGTTATGTTTTTATTGTTGTGCTATGCTGGAAGCGCTGTGTTTCTTTCGAAGCCTTATGTACTTACAATATACAGGTCCATCCACATCACCTTGTATAGCTGCAAGGAGACCTGGTGGGTTCTCATACTTCTGGTTAATTACCATGAACTGAAAATATATGATCGTGTCATGATCGGTATTAAGGGAGAATCAGCTAAGAGCGCTTACCTTTCGTATGGGCACCTTGTAGCCCTTACGTGTCTCGATGAAATCACATGCTGCAGCGCCTTTAGTATACCAAAGATCATCACGCGTAGCGGCCAATCGCAATATTACAAGAAATTCTATTGCGAATCCGATGGCGGTAATGATTACTACAGGTATGGCCTGTAACAGGACATAGAGATTTATTAGTAAATGAATTAAAAGTGATTTCTACATTTTTAATCACTTTAAATGTACAGAAAATATTACAAATAATATGTAATGATTATTATGAGAAGAAAACTTTTTTAATCAATATAGATATATACCAATTTTTAAAGACAAGTGCTTTAAGAACAAACAAATGCTTAAATAAATTATATATTCAGCATAGCTTGGCTAGTGCAGTCCTTTGTTAATCTGGAATAATTTGAAAAGTTTTCCTTAAAATTCTGAAACTGTACTAATTTAATTTTGCATTTAATTTCGTCATAGCACAAAATAAATGTATAAATAAATCATATATCCCATTTACTCTTATTTCAAGTACTTTCAAACACTTCAAAGGGTCGTCCACTCGAACAGCAGTGCATATCTCGCTTCACACATGCAAACACTTAACAACACTGCGGCACACACACCTGTGCCACAAACTTTGCAACACTGTGCGACCACAAGCAATATCCTCGTTACGTGCCTGCTCGGCTGCTTGCCTTGTTGGCAGGCTACCTGACAACCCTCGTTCGCTTCCTACGGTAGCCGACAGACTGCTCACTGCGGCAGGGCAACCCCGGCCCCAATAAATGACAGCTGTCTTTGCTGTAGACAAATCTCTCTCCCGCTCGCACTCTCTTCCGTGTGCACTGTCTGTGTGTGTGCGTGTGTGTTTTCGAATGCCGCTGCGCACGCTCATTCGTTGCTTAACGAATTGAATTTAGCTCGAGCACTCGCAGCGCGCACACATCCTGCGACGCATTCAGAATTCGGAAGTCGCGCCGCGCAGACGTTTAGTGAAAGTAGCAAATGTATAAATAATAAAAGACTTTTAGTGGAATTTGAAGCAAATGCGAGTTCTATTTAGTTCATAGTAATTTAATTCTGCGCTACTGGAAAATTGTTCGTCTGTAAATATAGATAAATAAAGACATATAAATATATAGAGATATATATACACGTATATAAATATATTTATGTATATGCTCTTCGTGCCGTCCGGACATTTGCATTAATTTATGTGCCCCCACTTAAATGCAAATAACTAAGCAAGAACAAGAAAACATCGAAAACAAATAAAACTAAGCGCCGCCCATTGCCATTGGCAACAAAAACAAAACGCGAAAAAAAACCCAAGAACAAACTGTCGAAAAGAGAAGTTAGAAAACGAAGTACGGGGAACGTCAAAAAATATAAAATTCGCAAAAAGGAACAGAAAGCAAATGTATAAAAAAGCATATAAATCAAACTAAATGAAAAGTAATAATTAAAATAATAATGAAAAAGTAATAATAATAAATAAAAGGAAACTCTATAACAAAAACAAATTAAAAGAGAACCCAACGCGAATCATCGGCAAATAATAAAAATAAAATCAAAGCGGAACGTAAATTTTTAGAGAATTTTGTTTGTTGCTTTTGAACAGCCTTCAACATTCAGCTGAAGCAGGAAATGCACGCTCTTAAGGAGGGCGCCACCATGCTGCACCACCAGCCGCCACCGCCGCTGGCTCTGCCGCTGGCACAGTCGCTGCCGGCATCGCAGCCGCCACACGATGATTTACTGAGCGCCGCTGACAAATATTTCTTTAATGCCCACAGCAATCCGATTGATAATGCTGCCGCTGCCGCAGCAGCCGCCGCAGCCGGCCTCATCGATCCGCATCACAATCGTGATCTGCACAATGCGCTGGTCGCCTCCATAGCCAACAGCAATGTGGCCGCCATCAATGGCACTCTGACCACGGCCGCGGTGCTGAAGAGCGCTGCCGCTGCCCAGGCGGCACAGGTGCAGCAGACACAGCAGCAGAGCGCTGCCGGCCAACAGGCGGGTCAGCAACAGCAACAGCAGTCGACGGCTGGACAGGATCAGGCCAGTGCCCAGAGCAATGGCAACCAGCAGCAGGCAGCTGCAGCTGCACAGCAACAACAACAACAGCAGCAGCAGCAACAACAACAGCAGCAGCAGCAGGCTCAGCAGGCCGCTCTGGCTCTGCTCAAGGTGGACAATGTGAATGCCGTCGCTGTACAGAATGGCAGCGGCGCCAATCTGAGCATCAAGAGCAGCTCCTCGGGTCGCTCCACTCCCAGCAACAGTGGCGGCAGCCTCTCAGATCCGGCTCCGGGCAAACTGTTTGTGGGCGGGCTCAGCTGGCAGACATCGTCGGAGAAGCTCAAGGAGTATTTCAATATGTTCGGCACCGTCACCGATGTGCTCATCATGAAGGATCCGGTCACTCAGGTAAGCCACATGTAGTCTATGCCTAATATCTTAGCCTCCTATGTATATGGCCGTTTCTCTATTTCTATTTCTTCCTCTCTCACTCTATCTCTCTCTCTCTCTCTTTGTCTATTGGTCTCTTTTGGGATTATTGCTTCTATTCCTTGTTTGTCTTTGCCCTTCTCCTTGTTTGCGTTTCTCGATTTTGTCAGATTTTACAGCTATTTTTGCGCACCGTTCCTTTTCGTTAATTCGTCTGCGCTCTCTCCTCTTGTCTGTCACCTTGTTTCTCGATGTGTCGCTGTGCGCAGCTGCAGTTACGGCAGCAACAACAACAACAAGCTTAACCACAACTACAACAATGACAATGTCACTTCTTTTGCTTTGGCCCTTTGTTTGCGTCTGGGTCTGTGCCCGTCTTCCTTGTTCTTTATTTTTGCATTTCTCACATTATTTATTGGTTTCTGTCTGGTTTAGAATTACAGTTTTTCGTTACGTGCCAAACAAGACACAAAATACGACCACCAGGCAACAGCCAAACAGCAAAAAAAAAAAAAAAAAACAAACAACCAGATAGCAGGGCACATTATAATCTCCACCAAATCAGGTTTCACCCTGCAATCTTCCAATAAAATGTCTATCGTTTGACATAATAATGCGTTAATAATTTAAATATGCAATAAACTTTAAGACTCTAATACAGTCTAATTTTCACTGACAAGTGCATTAACAACTGCGACAGTAATATTTTAGCCTTCACTGTAACTGCAAATCAGCCGTTTAACAGTCGCCTCCTGGCGCATTGGGCACAGCGGAAATTGCATTGGAAGTAAGCGTATTAAGGCAATTTGTCCGCTGGATAGGCGCACAAATACAATCACACATACATACATATACAACTACAATTGTTTTTGTTGTTGTTGTTGTCAGGCAGTTGCAGCGGACAGCGCGCGCGCTCGCGCTTTGGTTGGCCATTAAAAATAGCAGCTGCCATCGACAAGTCCTGTGCGCGCAGCTGTTTTTGCCCTCTCCCCAGCAGTTTTTATTGTTGTGGCACAGGACAATGGCAACGCGAGCCGAACCTGGCCGAGCCCGAGCCTTAGGGTAGTTTGACTGGCCTGCTGCGCGCAATTGCGCAATTACGACAGCGCGAACTCCGAAGGGAACTTGAACATTCGAAGTCGAATTCGAAGTGGAACAGTTTTGTATTCGCAAAAACAGTCGATGCTAACGGGGGTTGTCCTTGTCGCAGATAGTCAAGAGAAACGCAAGCAAACCTTATGCCCTTGTATAATAATAAATATAATCTACAAAAACTACACACACACACATACACACACAACACGAACACAAATACATACAGTGCACACCTTTTGTTGTGCTCCAACAAACAAGAGACCAAAAAAAGAAAAAATATGAAAAGAAACTGGTTTGCCAACTGCTCACATTACGTTTGTGTGAATGTATGCGTGCGTGTGTGTGTGCGTGTCCTGTGTCCTGTCTATAAGTGAACCAAGATCCAAGTACAACTAGTTTTTAAGTATAGGAAACAAAGTCTTTAGCTAGCATATGTTATGTAGTTGAATATATGAGAACTAAACCAGCTAATTGTAACTTAAGTATTAAATATATAATTATAATATAATTAAAACGAGCAAAACAAGAAAAAAATATCTATATATATACATATGTATACTACTTGAAAAGTGAACTAATTATGGAGAGAAGCGCCGCCAGCGGCATTTGGATCTGGAACTTTGACGCGTGCGCAGCTGTTGCGCCAGAGGCCTCTACGCCAACGTGACGCCAAAGGACACCTTAACTAAAGGAAGCGATTGTCAGAACTACAAGTCTCGTTACCGATGTCTTAGGTACATGTTGAAAACAATCCCAATAACAAAAACCAAAAGATCGCCAAATTGTAACTGTATAAAAACACGTTTAGCGTAAAACTCAGCTGGCGTATCTTAATCTCTCTCTTTCTCTCTCTCTATTTCTCTCGTATCTTTCGTATAAATCTGAGCAAAACTTAAATACCTAATTATCGTATAATCGTATTCTAATTAAATGTACTCGTACTCGTATTGTGTACTTGGTTATGCTTAGCGTTTTTTACCCAAACAATAAAAATACAAAAACAAAAACAAAGCATTATATACATATATTATATAAGTATATTCATGATAGGCAAGCAATAAAATAAATAAAAGCCTTAAAAATAACTAAAATTGGACATATACTATATAGATTTAGAGCAAATATAGCTGCAGCAATATTCTCGTTACCCTGTACCAAAGTGAAAAAAAAAAAAAATACGAAACTCTCCCCCTAACCCTTAGCAGTAAGATGTGATACTACATACATTATATATCACTAGCTCTAGCCTAGTTTTATACCAGTAATTGATTTTTTATGTGATATTTTTTTTTTTTTTTGCTTTATGTTGTTTTGTTTTGACATATATCCCTTAACTATTTCCTGCGTAGTTTACTTATCCCAACAATATAAATATTATATATCTATAAATTAGTCGATTTCTTATTGATGGAAGAGCAAAGAGCTCCACATTTGTATAGCTTATGGGAATTTTCAATTTATTTTTTAGAAATGTTTCTTTTGTAATTTTACTATTCAGAGATTTAAATTTAATTGCCCCCGATATATAAATAACTATTGTATAATTGTCTAAATAAAGCGCATTATGTAAGCTACATCGAACTAATTAATACGTTGCCCTACGGGGGGAGGTATTATATCATAAGTAGAATATCATCTTGAAAAAAATTGTACGAAATGAAAAATACTTCGGCTAGCCGAGGCTAAATTTATTCTTGCAGATGGAATAATAGAACCCATTAGCTTTAAATGTTTTCCTTAATAAACCAATAACTAATCCATTAATTTCTAACTCAAAAATTGCGATCATTTTTTAATATCCGTATTCATGATAGATAATCCTCCCTGCAAGGATATATAGAAATTTAAATCGCCTTAGACTTAAGCCAATTGTTGTATTCCAAATTGTAAAATTTCTATGTATTTGTAACAAATTGTAAATGACAACAAAATTAGTCATAAGCAACAAAGAAATATATATTGACAAATAGAATTAGAGTATTATTAATATTAAGCGCATACATTTCTTTGTAAACTAACAAGCAATTGTATAGGATAAGGTATACAGCTATTCGTTAATTTTATAATTAATTATTAGGAGTATCTATATAAATCTTCATCACATAAGTATTCTCTCTCTCTCTCTCTCTGTCTATAATCGTACTGGAATAGTAAATGCGTTTTACACTCTTTCTCTACCTCTCTATCTATCTGTTTAACAGACTATCTGCATATAAGAATTATCACACACAATGCATATTTATATATTATATATTTATATATAATATGAATATAATAAGCCTCATATGTAACTTTTGTATTATTGTTAAAAATATTATTTGGAGAGGTGCAAAACAAAAGCTGTTGTTGATATATAAATATTTGTGTATATACTTAGAGCGGGTTAATCATGGCAAATTATAAATTGATAAATAATTCTATTGGTCGGATCTGAAAAGTATTTAGTACAAGTTTTAGTTATTAGTTGAGCATAATTACATAATTTTAATGTGTGTTTTACTTGGACCAATTTCGTTGTTAATATATAATTTAATTATTACTTTTGATTAAAACGAATAGCGTAACGGGAAGGGGCGAATTGACAAATGCAATGAGTACTTTTAGCGCCGTAACAAAAATAAATATAAGAGTATGCATAGTACACAAGTGCAGGATATACAAAATAGAAGAGTGTTTGTAGTATCGCTGCTTCTGTAAAGGAGAGAAGCTGTATGCAATGTTTGTATATGAGAGTACTCTTCTACGACTAAAGATTATCTTATAATATATACCTACTGTTGCATACAGCCAAAATTTTAAGTGTGAGACATGGGCTGCGCTGAGTTACTGCTAAAAAATATAAGAGTTTGTTGATGTATATTTGATTAGCGCACATAAAGTACTTATTGCATAACTCTGAATCGATATTAGAACTTGACTTTTATATATTTTGTCTGTTATTATTTGTTATTAGTTTTTTGTTATGTTGAGTTTTTGGTGGCATCAACTGAATTCTACGAGCCTGTTGATGCATTGATATTTACCTTTGTTGAACTTTTTGCTAACGTTACGTAGGACATTTACAAACTATTAACTTGCAAATTAGCTGATCACTTTGCAAATTTAGATTTATATATACTATACTATATACTCTATATACATATACGTATTTCGTAAACGCTGCCTCTAACCCGACAAAATTGGAACTAACATTCACTAAACTCTGATATCGCTTTTGTGTCTCTCCCTCTCTCTTGCTCTCCCTCGAATCGTCACAATTGCAGCGCAGCCGCGGCTTTGGCTTCATCACATTCCAAGAACCGTGCACCGTGGACAAGGTGCTTAAGGTGCCCATTCACACGCTCGATGGCAAGAAGATCGATCCGAAGCATGCCACGCCCAAGAATCGTCCACGTCAAGCGAACAAGACCAAAAAGATATTCGTGGGTGGCGTCTCGCAGGACACCTCCGCCGACGAGGTGAAAGCCTATTTCAGTCAATTCGGTGCCGTCGAGGAGACGGTCATGCTGATGGATCAGCAGACGAAACGCCATCGCGGCTTTGGATTTGTCACCTTCGAGAACGAGGACGTGGTGGATCGCGTCTGCGAGATTCATTTCCATACCATCAAGAACAAGAAGGTCGAATGCAAGAAGGCCCAACCCAAAGAGGCAGTTACACCCGCCGCCCAGCTGCTCCAGAAGCGCATCATGCTGGGCACTCTGGGCGTGCAGTTGCCCGCCGCACCTGGCCAATTGTTGGGCGCACGCAGCGCCGCAGGCGTGGCCGCTGCCATGAATCCCTTGGCCATGCTGCAGACACCCACACAGCTGCTGCAATCGCCGGCCGCAGCAGCCGCCGCCCAGCAAGCGGCGCTCATATCGCAGAATCCGTTTCAAGTACAAAACGCAGCCGCCGCTGCCACCATGGCAGCCAATCAGAGCAACTTTGGCAAGCTGCTAGCCACATATCCACAGACAGCGCTGCACAGCGTCAGGTGAGTCAGTCGGCACATAAGGTGATCGAGCCTAAGTAATCACATTATGCCTTTCTTCTAGATATGCTCCCTATACCATACCCGCCAGCGCCGCCACTGCCAACGCAGCATTGATGCAGGCCCACCAGGCCCAGAACGTGGCTGCTATGTCCGCCCATCAGCAGCAGCAGTCACACAATGCAGCGCATGCACATGCCGCTGTCGCCGCCGCCGCCGGCCTGCATCAGCAGCATTCGCACCATCACCAACAGCAGCAGCAGCAGCAGCAGCAACAACAACAGCATCATCACAATGCCGCCGTTGCGGCAGCCGCCGCCGCCTCCAATAATGCTGCCACACAGGTCCATTCGGCGGCTGCCGCCGCCGCCCTGGCTGCCAATGCGGCTAATGGAGCGGGTGCCAATGCGCACTCCCTGGCTGCCGCCCAGCAGGCAGCGCTTGTCGCCGGCAATCCGCTAAATGCGGCTGCAGCAGCAGCTGCCGCGGCTGCCAATCCGGCTGCCGCTTATCCCAATTATGCGCTGGCCAATGTGGACATGTCCAGCTTCCAGGGGGTTGACTGGAGCAGCATGTACGGCATGGGCATGTATGTCTAAGCAGCCCCGCTCTATCAACCTTTCTGTCTCTCTCGCTCTCTATCTCTCTCTCTCTCTCTCTTTTCTCTGTCTATCTATATCTATATAATGTGCATACGATTGCATTCACACACACACTCACTCACTCATACACACGCACACACACAATAACCACACAAATCTCATGACCACAAAATTTGTTTTACCTTTTGGTTTAACTTAGTTCTTAGTGCCACATACACACACACAAACACACACATAATTGAAAGCATATTAAGTATTATATTTAAGGCTCTAGCTACCCCTGCTACCGCCCCCACGCGTTTTATAATAGTAACAAACAAAAAAAAAAACAAAAAACAAAAAAAATGATAAGCAATAAAAAATACACAAAGGAGCAGCCCGCGAGGCAATAGCAAGAGATAAAAAAAAAAAAACATATTCATAACAAATTAAAACAACAAAAAATTAAACCAAAAATTACGAAAAAAAAAGGAAAACAATTTAAAAAACCACCGATTGTGATTGCGTTTAATTGTAGCAGTTTATATAATTTTTAGTACATAAAGATATAACATAAACATATTTATAATTGAAAAAAACACATTATTTATATATAATACAAAATCTAAATCAAAGCTCATTGAAAAAAGCGAAACACGATAAAGCGAGTAAAGAGAAACATAAATTTTGCTCAAGCATCGTAATATAAATTAATAAGAACCTATAACTGTCTAAACACTTAAAAATCGAACTATATAAATTTTAAAATGAAACTGAAAGAAGGAAGGAAAGAAATATAAAACACTACACAACATAATTTAGTTATTTAGTACTTTGAGCTCGAATTTAATTCACCCAGCATAGCAGTTAAACAGAGAACGAGACAAGAGAACCGAACAAACATCACACACACATACACACGCACTCACACTCACACAAAAACACTCACATATTTGCCCTTCTGTACTTTATCATAATAAAACTGGCAACTGACATAAAGCTGCATTATTTTCATTTCCTTAACTTTGTTGTACTGTGTTAAAGGCTAGAGACCATAGGCTCAGCTGGTCAACACACTCTATATACCATATACATATACCATACTCATTCTCATCTGTAGAATACCCCCCTTTTCTACCCCGTCAAAATTTAGATTTGTCTTGCTTTATCCTCTCCATAGAAAATTGTGTAAGAACCCAATTTCAAAATTTCTCTTCTCTTTTTTGTAATTTGCTTAATATATTTTTTGATATACTTTAATTATATTTTTTTCTACTCATGCGCATTAATTAACAACAGAGTTAAGTAATTAAACTTGTAGTTATTGTATTAATGAAAAATAAAAGAAACTCCCTTTACTCTTAGCTTTAGTTCTATTTGTAATTGTTTAGCTGTAGCATTTGCATTTCAGTTTTGCATTAAAACAAATACATACACACTACACACTTCATTATAAAATATATATAAAAAAATAGATGTATACTGATAAAAAAAAAAAAAAAAAGAAAAAAAAAAACTAAATTTGATTCGCATGCATGTTTCAACTTTAATTTTAGTTACTTAATTAGCTATCATTTGAAAGTAATCATTTGCGTATGTATATATAGTTATTATATGTATGTATACACACACACACACACCCACACGACATATAATTATAAAACAAAAACAATTTGAAGTAATTTTTGTGTTTAATAAAACTGGTTTACAACAACAAAAAACGAAAAAATTTGCTAATGAAACAAGCAAAAGAAAGAGAATTTGTGTTTTTAATTATTATTTACTAGATTGTATATATAGTTGATTGATCATATTTTTGTATATTTACTTATTTTGTTGAATTTTTGTAAATGTTGTGCTGTCTCTGTCTCTCTCTCTCTCTCTCTCTCTCTCTTTTACCAACTTCTCTTTCGCTCTCTGTCTGTATTTATACCTTATGTCCAGGTGGAGACTTTTCACACATATATATATATTCTGTGTTCTTGTAATTGTATGTGTATATGTATCTGACTACATTTTGGAGGTGAGTACATTGGGCACATATATAGACATATTTTATATTTTATTAATTATTTTCCAAGTATTTGTACAGCATCCCAAATAAATAAAAATACCTCTGTTCTCGTCTCACGTTTCGCATACCAAAGATAATTTTTATACAACATTTTGCTGGGCTGAATATTAGACTCGTAATGCTCCACTTACTTAGTACAAACACACACACATACAACTACACTCAACTAATTTAGTAACTTTTATTCCCATTTATTTATTGTCTATGCTTAAGAACTTAACACACATTCCACTAAACTCTATTTGGTGCCATTCGATGCAAAATTATTTATCCAAAGCCAAAATCCAAGAAAAAATAATTATGCCTAGATCTTTGCATTCTATATACGCAGCGTTGAAAATTTACAAGCGGTACTAATTTATTTTTTTTAATAAAAAATTCATTGTTATGTATACATAATTTAAAATAAAATATACCATTTATTTATTATATATATATTTTTAATAAATATAAACCATGATTGCATTTCATTTTTAATATTTTCAATTTCTTCGATTTGGTTTTAGCGCAAGAAGTCAAAAAAATGCTTTAGTCTTAGTTTATATAAATACATATTATTTGTAAGAACCAAGCCCTAGTCCAATTAGTGTTTTTTGGAAATGCTTTATTTGTTTCTATTCTATTTTCCTACATGTTTTCAAATATTTATCGAGTTAAATGCTTCCACAACATTTTCCATATTCTTAACATATTCTAATAGATCCAAAATTCAAAGTGATATAAAACGCCAATACAAAAAACAAATTAGTTTCGTATTTGATTATCCGTAGCAACAGTCGAAATCAACAAAATAAAATTCAATTCGAAAAGATCTGTATAATAACCCAAATGAAATGTTTTGATGTATCAAAAAAATTGTGTTATCCCAAGTAGTAGCTTGCAAATTTTGATATATATACTAAATAAAAGAACATATATAGCGCTCTTTATATACATTGGTAAATATATGCATATAATTTTTGATAAAAATCACAATAAACAACCATAGATATATAGTTGTGTCTTGTTCAGTTTTTGTTTTTTCAATTAACATTATCTCATATATTAGTTTTGTGGTAGAGACATTTTGAAGTAACTAACGAACGATCGTCGATTTTACGATAAAATTTTCTGTAATATATGAGACACACATACACACACACAGTACAGCCACACACACACACACATACTATAAATTAGTTGTGTATGTTTCGTATATGTAGGCTAGACTTATATAGTACTACTACATCTACATCATATACATACATACATTTTAGCCACATAGAACAAAGATATATATCCATATATATATATATATATATATATATATATACATATATAAAGCATGATGGAACATGTTTAAGTAGTCAATTGCGTAAAACTCTATATACAACTATATACTCTCCCTATCTCTCTATATATATTCGTATATACAAAATCTGAACGAGAATGCAAGATCAGCAATTTGCAATCCATATCATCTTCTCACAGTATACTATGAAACTGAAAAACTAAAAAAGAATTTCACCATTTCGATGGCATTATATACCCCATTATTATATATACATACATATACACATACATACATGCATACATACATACATCATATGACAATAAGATCAACTGTGTTTCAGAGCATTCAAGTGTCAGTATTCGTAAACCAAATTACCTAAAAAAAAACTCTTAACGTTAGTCAATCGGATTTTAGCTATTGTACTATATAAATATATGATCTAATTGGATAATGTTGATGTTCTCTCATTATACTCGATATATACAACAACAAGACGAAGAAAATGAATATATACACAGACACATATAGAACTAAAATTCGAGTGGAAAGCTCTTTATAGATATTTACATGCATACAGCGATATTTAGGAAGACCGTGATATATTCAATTAGAGAAACCTTTAACTATAAACACACATATATATACATATATATTATATGTGTATATATATTATATGTATAAGACAGCGTCTCAAAATGTGGCAAAATACTTATTGCTAAGTGGTTCTTTGACAATGAAGTTGAAACATTTCATAACCCTAGGCTGATCTCTTGTTGTGAGGCTACAAAACGCATATCACTTTGAAAAGGGAGTTACGAAACAGTTATTAGAAAACTTTTACACTTAAAACCAGGGGAAAAATTTCGCAGGAAATGGGCAAAGTGTCTTCATTTTTCGAAGTAAATCGTTTTTTCAAAACTAAATTTAGAACGATTTGTATAAAAGATATAAAGAAAATGTAGTTGATTTTTTTTTTACCAATGTGGACCAAACCGAAAATATAAAAAATCGTAGCGAAATTCGATCAGAAATCGGGTCATTAAATTCTTATATACATATATGTATAAAACTCCAGTCAAAAGACCCAAAATGAAAAATTCCGTGACCTTACAATTGAGTTGGACATTCTTTTGGCTTCTTGTGTATTATTTTTAGCCTTATTATAATTTCCTTAAAAACTATACGCTCACACACACACATACACACACACAAGAAAAATACTTTACAAAAAGCTAGTCAATTGATGTGGACAGCCACAAATCAATAATCTCAATCTACTCTAGCAGCAAGTAAGTATAAAACCCAAACCAAAATAAAATACAAATTGTATTAATTAAATATAAAATAATAATTTAAAGCTAAAAACTAAAAAACGTACACAATAAAGAAAAAAAGCAATTATTTTCCTGGGAAAATATAAAACTCAACTAAAAACAAATATTTTATATAAAACACAGAAAATTGAACATATTTAATTTATTGTATTGCTAAAAGAGAAACCAGCAAAGAGACAAACATAAATTTAGTTTTAAGCTTAAACATTTAAGTCATTCAAAAAGTGTTAAGTAATTTAAAAGCAATGTGGCTGAACAATTTAGCTATTACATACAGTTTACATAACAAACGCTATTTATTTATTTATTTCTATTATATATATAATGAACTATATATTATACTAAAAGTTCGATGATATGCTATTTATGCTTATTTCAAGAAGTAAAACAAAATCAAAGACACAGTAAAAATAAAGAAATAAAAAC